GAAAATATTAAATATTTTTCTGAAAATAGAAAGATATAGAAAGGATCAATTTTAGAAAATTTTACCAATGACTTGGTGCTAAAGACCTTTTTTCTTCTTTCATTAATGAATCCTCTAGCCTCCCACATGGAATTTAAAACTTAATTATCCCCAGATAGTTCCAATCTTGATGGAACCAAATTTCTCTGCAATAAAGATAAAAATATTTTTTAAACAACTCTTTCCTTATGCCAAAAATTTTATTGGAATTAACCAAGGTAATGAACTGGCACCTTTGGATAATTGAATTCAAACCCCTTATAAATAGGACTGCTCTTGTTTTTCTCATTCCAGCTAGTCCTTAGCCTCTCCTTTCTTCCCTCTATTAGGTTAAGTGTAGCCTGCCCGGCTCGGTGTAATGATTTATTTTTTATTCTGTGATTTATTTTTATTTAAGCTGAGTGAGAGTCATTTATGAATTTTTTAAAGTTAATTTTTTAAGACACTAAAGTCCTGCTTACAACGTAAAAACCAACGAAAACATTGTGTGTGGGGGTTTTGCCTGAGGAGTGGGAGGTGGGAGTGGGAAAGCAAATGAGAAAAATCTCTTAAGGCCAACTGTTGGGAAGAGAAGTCTTTTTTTTTCCATTAGAGACCTAATTTGACATTGTTGCTTTAAAAAAAAAATCTAGGTTTATTTATTGCCATTTTGTTTTCATGTATAAAAACAAACTATGTATAAAATTGCTAATACTGCTCAACTCAAATACTAAAATATGAGAAGGTGGGCAAAAGACTAATTACATTTGAAAAGTCATTCAAGTAATAGGGCAACAGCCTATGGAAGAATGGCCCCCAAATTAAAAATAAACTCTGAATTTACAAGAATATACTAGCTTCTTCTGACCAAGTGTTATAATTAACATTCCCTCCATATTCTTTATACTTTTATATTATTTCCCTAGATATCTCTGGTGTAAAATAGTAATCAGTATTTTTTTCCCAGTTTCAAAGACTTATTTCTAAAGTACTGAAATGCATTAAGTAGTATATTAGTCAAACTATTCTTGATCACACAGACATTAATTAATGTGTAAGATACAGATAAGCTTGAAGACAATTTCAAATTCTTTTTTTTTTTTAAATCCATGCCTTTGTTATTATCTTGTTTTCAATGTCTAAGGGTCAAAGGCTTTTGAATTCTATTTACAGATTCTGGAATTCTCCTTCCTTCTCTCCTGCCATTCTGTTTGTTCCTCTGTGGTTATGAATTTGAGCACAAAAAGAACTATATTTATGCCGTTGTTGACAGAAAAATATATTTATATAAAAGCAGAAGGTACATAAAAGTCCATTAAAGCTCAGTTTATAATAAGATTTCATATCAGTGTATTGATTGCAATGTAACATTATTATTTCTTTAAAGGAGTAAAGCATATTCATCCTGTGGAGGAGGGAATCATGGTTATAACAACGAGTTTAAGAGCATGGAGGTAACTTACTGCTTTATTATTTTTTTAACGTATTTATTGAGCACCTACTTTGTAATAGGCAATCTTCAGGACCCTTAAATACAGCTGTGAACAAAACCCATAAGGATCCCTGCCCTCAAGAAGCTTTCATTCTAACAGATGAACATAGACAATTGGTGTAATAAGGAAATAATATTATTTGGTATGTTAGGGGATAAGTGCCATGGGAAATAAAAGTAAAGCAGAGTAGGTAGACCTTGCGGGTGTTTCAGGGTACCGTGGGGGCATATGCAATTTTACATAAGGTGTAGAGGGTCAGATTCATCGAGATGATATTTGAACAGAGGCTTGAAGGAGCTGAAAGATTCTACCTTTCAAATATTCAGAGGACAAGCGTCCCAGGCCAAGGAAATGGCCAGTGCAAAGGCCTGAAGGTGGCAGTGTGCCTGGTATGTTGGGGACGGGAGAGCCTTCATAAGCGGTTGGAAGGATGTTAGACCGTAGCTGACTCCAGAGGAAGGAGTGAGGGTTCATTTGGGTACGTTAAGTCCCAAATATTTATTAGACATGCAAGTGGAGATGTTATAGAGGCACCTGAAGAGAGTCTGTCTATCCAGAGATAAAAAAACTTTGAGTTTTAGGTATGTAAATTATTTAAAAGATATGCAGCTAGAGATGATCGTCAGAAACTGAGTATAGATAGAAAGGAAGACCAAGAACTGAGCTCTAAGCAAATCTACTTGAAGAGGTTGAAAGAAAAAGAGTCACTAGCAAAGACACTTAGAAGTAAAACCAGTAGGGAGGGAAGAAAACTAGGAGCATAGTGTGTCCTGGAAGCCCAGGGAAGAGTCTATTAGGGAGAGTCCATGAGTAAAGTGTAGCTGATATTCGCCTATAGGTAAAGCTTAATGATTTTTTGCAACCTGGTTATCTTATCTATTTCCATTAATAACACACACACACACACACACACACACACACACACTCCTTCCCAAATAAAGAAAATGTGTTGGATTTTTTTTTATGAATATACTGGCTTTTAACATTGTCATGATGAGCTATAGATCCTTGTAAATATTTGATAAGTCTCTGGAGACAGAGTGCTTCTCTGTTAAATACAGTAGTATTTGATAATTAAGTTAATTACTATAACGAAAACTTATGCCCCCAGTTCTTTGCTAATTATCTTGGAAAAAAAGATTATCTATCTATCTATCTATCTATCTATCTGGCCCTGTTATCAAAAAAATAATTGTTTATTTATATTTGACACTTTTATTCTAGTTATTTACAATCTGAAAATATTCGATGTGTTATTAATAATATATTTAACATGATTTAATTAAATGTAAATAAAAGTATTTAGGTTTCTTCATCCTAAAAGTAAAGGGGAGATATATTTGAGAAATCAGTGGGTTGGTATAAGTTGTAAAAAAAATTTAGTGTTTAGAGACTTAAACGGTTTTTGTCACGTATTAACATATTTGAACAATGATATGAAAGGATTGTGAAAAGAATATCTGATGTTATTGGATGAATTTCTAATTTATACTGTCTAGCTATGGTAGAACTGTGTTGATGCTGGTTGTCCATTGTGGCTTGTTTCTCCTTGTCTGTTGACATACAAAGTACTGTGGAAGCAGGTACATTTAGCAAAAGTAAATACAATATAGATTATATTTGATTGGGATGGTTGGAATCTCAATCATAGATGCAAATGATATAAAAATCATTTTCAGATCTGAAAAGAAATCCTTACAATAGCCTCAGACACAATTGGAGAGCTGGGACAGAAGGAAAATGTTGTCTCTTCCAACATCTGTTTTTGAGTTTAGATGACATCTAGTAACAGTAGGACTATTACCACCTAGGCTATCTTCTTGGCACATGGACCGAGTTTTAAAGAGAAGACTGAAATTGAGCCATTTGAAAATATTGAAATCTATAACCTAATGTGTGGTGAGTATATCTATATAAATTTAACATCAAAATGTGGATATAGTTTTAAAAATATGTATTTTGAAATTGGTAATAAAATGAATCCCAGAAATGGATGCTTTGCCCTAAGAAGACAGAAAGTAGAGAAGATGAGAATGAATCATCATTCAGAATTATTCAGCAATAAGGGTGAATCTTTCTATTCGCTGGCAATGATTTAGATCTCAGGAAACCAGCTTTTCTATCAGTTAGTTACTATTTGAAAGTTTTGTAAAACTTAGATAAATAAAATTACATTTCTAACTTTTCAAAGCAGGAAAAGACCCCTAAAAGCACAAGTATTTTCTTGTAATTACAGAGAAAAAGCTTCTGGCATAAAAGGATGATAAAAGGCCTTTTTGGATTTACACTTTGGAATTACACTTACTGTTTAAAAAAAAAAACTTAAAGAATTAGAGTTTTAGGGGATCTCCTCTACTTTTGTGCATACAGCTTACTTCAGAGCACTGTACTAATAAATCATTTATCTCGGCAAGGCAATGGGTAAGTTGTCATTTCACCTTGAGCTTTAGGAATTCTGACGTAAATACACTCACAATTGTCATTCCTAATCTTGCCAAAGGCCTGTGGTGATTGAATATGACTTAGAAACCAAAGAGTATCCATTTGAAAATAATGTGTTGTAGCCTTAACAACTTTGGCTCTTGGTTCCCAAGCTGAAGTTTGTGGTCAGGGACGCTGGCCCTTTGCGGGGAGGCTTAGAAGGAACCAGATAGAATTTCAGTTCTAAGAGAGATCTATTTGGTGGTATTCAGCAGGAGCCACTTAAAAGACTATGTTTGTAAAATATCTGTATATTGTATTGTTGTAGAAAAAAAATAGAAAAAGTTATCTAAATATTACACAAAATTTATGAGTTTAATTTTTTTAAGGTATCCGTCCTTAGAGAAGTTTCATATAACTAAGTAAATATACTATAAGTAAGATTGTAAATTAACTTCTTCAAAATTATTTTTGGTAAAAGTATAGCTTTTTATGCTAGAAAACCAGGATATGCTTAAGGAACAAAGTGATCATTTAAGTAATGATACTTTTCTCTGGAGGAGCAGAAACAGTTCCTGAAAGAGCGTGTAGCTTCTATAACAAATGTTCCCATTGTCTAGAAAGAGGAAGTGATAGAAATCCTAGAAGGGGGGGTGGGGGGGAGTGTATGCGCCCGGGTGGCTCAGTAGGTTAAGTGTTGGACTCTTGGTTTCGGCCCACGTCATGATTTCAGGGTAGCGGGATGGAGCTTTACATCGGGCTCTGTGCTCAGTGGGGAGTCTACTTGGGATTCTCCCTCTCCCTCTGCCCCCCACCACTCTCTCTCCCTCTCTAAAAAAAAA